TTGATTTATATGTTAATATATTTTTGAAGAATTAATGAATTATTTTAAGTTCTAATATGATATTCTATTCAATTTTTATATAAATCTTGAAATAAAATCGAAAAGATAATAATTCTTTTGATTTACATATATATAAAATATTAGAGAGATATCTGATATATTAAGAAATTAAAAATAATATATTATTTGAATAGAATTACTATATATAAAAGATTTCGAATCAAAAATATTATCCGATTCTAATATCTGATTTTGATATATTTGAATAATCTCTTCGAATCTATTTAAAGATTCCGATATAAAATAATTTACTATTTCTCTTCATTTCTCATTTTTTCAATATTGATTTGTCCCGATATTATTGATATATATAATATTTCGATATATTTATATATAATTTCTATTACGATATTATTCGCTTCTACCCACGACGATACGTCCATCATTTTTCTCAGATTCGCACGATATTCCTCTCGATTTTCATGCCCTCGCCTCACTCTTTACCCGATCTCATTCTATTCTCACTTGTCATCATACAAACATCCCCGCTCGAACATTATATTTCATATTCCGATCTGAGACTACGATATCTAATCGAACTATGCGAAAAAGAGACAACGACGATACTTATTTAGCATATCTTATCATACTAAAAAATATTATCTATTACGTATAATATATATGACGGATTCATCTTCTATATTTAATCTAATATCTTCAAATTCTCAGATATATCGAAATTTCATATAAAATAAGAATTCTTCATATTAAAATAAATATTTAGAAATATATTCATGATGCTAAAATCCCAAGATTTATATAAAAAAATAAATATATTTCAAATATGAATCCGAAATCAGAATAAATATATAATATATCATAGAAATCCCAAAGGTTCCTATAAGATTTCTTAGAATATCTCTTTTAAATATTATCTTAAAATTCCTAATACCAGAAATTATCATAAAAGAATTTGGGATGCCCAATCCCAACGACTACCAGGAACTTATAAATCCTATTGTCAATTCATATTCTATCTCCATAGATCATCAATTAATCTAAATCGATTATATATTTTCAATATAATAATCTCATATCTTTATTTCTAATCAATAATATGATTTTTATATAAAAAATCGAATAATCTAAAAATATTAATAATTATCATATAAATATCAAAAATATTATCTATAAAATAAAATATTCGCAATAAGATAAACTAAAAACTTCTGCTTATCATTATTATTCATCAAATATTCTAAATCTAAATCTAATATGATAAATAATTTTTTATTTTTATTCAAAATTATTCATTTTATTATATTTCCCAAGATATTAATTTCTTCAAAAATCAATAATTATATTCTTTATGAAATTAAATTTCTATATATTCATAGAATATATTATTATCTCCCGTCTCTTGATCAAAAATAATGATATATATATAATATAAAAAATACATTAAATATCAAGAAATTCGAAAATACATTTATTCGAAGAATCTCATATAAAATATATAATCTCTATATCCGAATTCTCCTTTCTCCAATATTATATTGGAAAATCCTTATCGAGATATTGATGAATGAAATAGATAATAAGAAATCAAAATCATTCCGAAAGATTCTCATATTTTGAGATTTATATTCAAATATATTTTTCCCCAAATAGGCACCGGTTGAGGTTCTTTCCTCAGAAAAGGTGGGGTGCGGCAGCTGGATAGATGGGCCGCGGCGACGATTCCCATTAGATTTCTTTTATATTTCTTTCTAGTCTCTTGGGTCGGACGGGCGGTCCACGACGATGGGAGATTCTCATTAGATTCCTTTTATTAATAGATTCTTTTTATATATGATTTCTCTTCATATTTTTATTTTAGATTTCTATATTTCTTATCTAGGTTCCTAGATCAGATGGATAGGTCGCGATCAAAGATTAGATTCTGATTATTATTAAATTATTTTTTCAATTTCTTTCTATTTCGTCTTTGGGCTCCTTATATATATATTTCTTGCCTGGGCTTCTGAATCGGATGGGTGGGGGCGGGTCGGAATCCCAATGGTTTCGTATTTTCTTTCTAGGCTCCTAAATCGGATAGATGCGGGTCACGGCGACGGGACGGATTGCCATTGGATTTTTTCGGATGAGGGGGAAAATGACGGGCGGGCTCCCATTTTTTAATTTTTTTTAAAGGGCTCCTAAGTCGGATACGTAAGCCGCCCGCGACGATCGGATTCTATTATTCTTTCTTTATAATATATTTTTTTTTATATTTCTTTTTTGAAGATCTTTATTAGATATATAGGTCATGATCAAGAATTATTTATTTCTTCGAATCATATTATATTTCTTTTCAAGATATTAAATCAAATAAGAAAATCGCGCGAGGGGAGAATTCTTATTAGATTCCCTTTTATATTTTTTCAATATTCTTCATGAAATATATAAATCGCGACCAAAATAGTAATATTTATATAGAATTATTTCATATTTCTAATCTCCGAAATTAAATAAATAAGTTCTTATTGAATTTCTTTTATAATGAATTTCCTTCATAATTATTTTATAGCTTCCCTTCATATTTCTTATTTAAATTCATTGGGTCCTAATTCGAATAGATTTCATTTTCTATTTTATTTTTAAATTAATATTTTAAGATATATTCTATATTAATTATTTCGAGACTATGCAAAAAGGAATAATATAGAATAATATTATAAACAAGTCTGGCCGTCATATAGCCTGTGCATTAATTTCAGCTGCTGAAACCCTAAACCCGCAAGGCAATCTCTTTTCTGCGGTGCTTAGGCCCCACGCTCGTACGTAAAGAGCAAGCTCAGCAGCCACATAGACAAAAACACAACTACCTGTCATGCTTCAGACTCACGGTGCTGAGTCGAACGCAGGCTTTAATATCTAGGCCTTGCCCGTATATTGCACAGAAGTTGAGGATTAAAAAAAAAAGAATAATAACTTTTATCCTTATAGAAAATCGTATCCCGACTCACCCTCCTCCCGCTTCGGCCCCCCTAACTAGATTAGCAAAAAGAAACTCATCTAACAGTCGAGTCTACGGCACATCTAAAATATACCAGAAATTTCTAAGCTCTAGCCTCTCTTTTGCATTTCTTTTCTAGGCTCCTTAAACGAATAAGCAAGTCGATTCGATATTTTTAATATATCTTCTTTTTTTATAGAAAAAAAATTCTTTTTATAAATAATATCATCACTTATTATATATTTATATATAAAATATTGACTAATATCTAAATAAGCATTAAACAATATTTCTATTTCTAGAAATAATATCTTTATAGATTTTTATTTTCCTTTCGTAGGTAATAATAATCGTAATAGAAGTAGTAGCAGTAATAATAATCGTAGTAGCAATAATATTAGTAGTGGTAATAATTAAATCATATATGCCCAAATATGATATCTTCTAATATTAATATTATGTGTAAGTGTTCATCGGGAAGACCAATCCTTGAAACACAGAGAGGCCCTAAATAAAAGGCACGACCATGCCCATTTCCCCCACCACCTCCCATAGTTTGTGGACTGGTAGCCGAGCGATCTGGCTTTGGGTATATTGCATCGCGGCATGGTGGGACAGCGAGTTTGCGACCTGTATGCCTGCGGGCTTGCACAACATATACCTTACAAGTCCTATACGGCCCAAATCGATTATATAACAACTTTCGCGGATTATTGTTTTTCCTTTCGCGGACCCATCGCGGATCTTTCCACAAAAGGACCTTTAGATCAATGCTCAAATACTTGTTTTCGTAATGTTTGCTGGCGAAGCCAGATTGGGTTCCAATACGTTCCACCTTGAACCGGCATGATTCGATGCATTCTGTTTGGGGTCTTCGCTGGTGTAATTTAGGCAAAATATGCCCATCTAGCCACCAAGAAATTACACTTATGTCCGACACCCATTTTCCCAAATCTCACTAAACTTTGCAACGATTTTATAAACGCGTTGATTCTGGGCCTTAGAGGGGGCATCATCGGGTGCCGCGAACCAGATTTCACGCCGCGAATCTTTACATGTCCTGCTCTGCCACAACAAGCCTTTCCGGGGGCATCCGAAGGCTTGGGGCAGCGCCTCATGCCAGCATCCCGACTCATGTGCTCAGTTTCGGCCGTTGTCGCCGCACACTGGCGCTCAGGATCTCGGCACTGCGACACTGTCGTAGCTGCTAAGCTGGTAACTGACTACTCTGCACTACGTGCCATCGGCTGGATGAATATCGACAAAACAGACTCGGTGTCGCTTTAAAGTCAAGTGGATTCTCGCGTGGCCCTGGCTTCGATGATAACTGTTCTGAGTGCCACAGAAAAACAGCTCGCGAGCTTGAAGGATCAGGTCCGGTTCGCCAGGGCTTGACGCAGAGACTCAAAAACAGGCGAACAAGCGGAAAGAGCTTACTTTGGAGTGACATGACACTCGGCTCATGGCTCTCACAGGCTCAAACCTCTCTCCTACCGCACTTCGTGCACTTGGAGAACTTGAACATACACTTTCCACCATCCTTGTTGCAAGTGCTGGCGCCACCGGGGTTGGCGATGGCTCCAGCACCCTTGATCAGCTTGCCTTCGGCAGCTTGGCAGTAGTTACATTTTCCATACTTCCAGTGATGCATGCCATTAGGTGACTTGGAGCAGGTACCGGAAGAGGACTCCATGGCACTAGACGGCGCTAGCTTGTAGGTGCTCACTTCGCCAGAGGCACGGCTTGCGCCCAAGTCCTCCGTTGACGAGCAGCTGCAGTGTTCACGTACACCTTCCCTTGCAGATCCATGCGAAAACGGGCATCCAGGTCCTTCTCCATGTTCTCTGGCACGGCAGAGGATCCATGGATTGTAGCCTGCGTCTTCAGCACGGCGTCGCACTTCAGGCAATGTGCCCTGTCGTTCATCCATTGCGGGACTGACTTATACCCACCTGAGCTGCACAGCCGCACTCATGTCTGAACTGAACCTCTGCCTGTAGCCCAAACAAGCCAAATCGAGGTCCGAGTGGTGCAACTGGAAACTAATGCGCATGCCGCTGAGGCCGAAGCAGACATGGCACACAACCCGTGTGCGCTCATTTCGCTGCCCGGCTGTGGGTGCCTCAGGAAGCGGCCGGGAATGCAATCGAAAGCGAGGCGGTACCAAAAGATATAAGAAGCTCGCTTTCTCCTTGGAAGGGGTTCGCTCCACATCCTCCTGCACCGTTTGGAGCACGCTTGGAACTACAAAGCAGACTGCGGCGATGCGTCATAATTTCTTGGTCCAGCCTTGCTGTTAGACTGGAGGAGGGTGGCAGCAACAGTGCCAAGCGGGCTCTGAGGCCTGGGACCTATCGAAAGGACAGCTTCATTCAGGCAGCCATGACACAGATCCCAGTGCTAAGTCTGGCGCTGCTTTGAGGAGAAGCTTTGGGCGATGGCTTGGCCTGCACACCATTTCCCCGCCATTTCTGTGTTGTTGTGCTGCTTCGGATGGTGAAACAGGTGTCTAGCAAGTTTTTGGAGATTTGTGAGATGCATCGTGCACAACACGGGCACACGACTCGAGAGCCAAGCAAATCAACTCAGCTTCACGCACAGGCGGGTTGCGGCTGCGAGTCTGAGGATTTCGGAACCGGGCTCGTGTAATGCGCAGGGCTTTTGGTAGGACCATTGCGTTGGGCTCAAGTTCATGGCTGAGCTGCGGAGGTTCCTTTTGGGTTACCCTGCATCGCTCCGGGTCAGGCGTTCGGGCATGTGGTGCAGGGCTGGGGGCTCGATGGCAACATCCAGGAGTTTCTCACATGAATTACGAGTGAGAATCTAGGACCGAACTCGAAATTGTAGCGAGGCCTCGGATGATCTCTGGTGGGTGACACTTGCTTCATGACTCGGCCTTCGCACATCCTCCGGGAGCATTCAAAGAAAACAAAAGTGCCAAAAGCAGATGTAGGCCCAACAGCATTAGTTGATAGGACCTCTACTCGACTCTACTCATGCACTCAAGATGCACCTCTACTTGCGGTCCTTGCCCCCCATCTCAGGTCGGCCACACTTCCTTGGCAAGCCCTCTTCCCATTCTGCTCACAGGGCTTTGTAAGCTGAGAGGACCCGGAGCGCGGAGGTACAGCCTCTTAGGGCCGGAAGCAGGAGGCATGGCAAACAATCCAATTGAAGGCATTTCATGGGACAACCAATGCCGACCAGCATCGTGCACTTGGCAAACTTGAACATGCACTTGCCACCCCTGTCGCACTCTGCTGCGCCACCTGGATTCGCCATGACGCCTGCAGCAGGAAAATCACTGCACTTGACTCAGTGAGCTCACTTCAGCAGCTGCAGAAGCAGATAACATCAGGTAGACCTTAGCTCACATGCCAGTAGTAAACGTATGTAAGCCTCTAAACGAGCATCTTGAACTCTTTGCACATTATACTCCTGGCGAAAGTGTCTGTGCTGCTACATGTGCCGGGTGCCTGGTCCTTTGGCCAGCTTGCCTTCAGCCATCTGGCAGTAGTTGCCTGGGCGGTGGCTGGCATGCTGTCCTTCTCTGACTCCTTACTTGAGATACGGATAGAGGCCAAGTGTTCAGATAGCGATTGATGCCTACAGTCCGAACATGCCAAAGTGCATTTCCCATACTTCCAGTGGTGGGCTCCGTCCGGCGACATCGAACATGACCCAGAGCTTGACTCCATGGCACTGGCCGGGCCATGCTTAAACCTCGGACACGTTAAAACCGAGCTCGGGAGCCTGCCGTCAAGGACTTTCAGAGCGGTTTTCAGCACAGAGAAGGATACACCAATGCAGTCGGCGGCTTGCATCCTCGAAAGAAAGGCTCGGCGAGCGACCAAACTAGCCGCCAAACTTGGACCAAGGAGCGTGCTCACCTCTCCTGGCGAGAGAAAGGAAGCGCAAGAATGACGAACATACAACGAACAAAATAGATATCTGCCCAGGGATCATGCCAAGGGTACACCCGCTGCTTGCCAAATCCTTTTTTCGCAACCTGCCTATACAAAAAATTGGCTTTCCGTTGTGTCGGTCGCTACTCTGGCCCGCACGCTCACTTCGCCCATGCGAGAAAAAACGAAGCAAACCAAACACTCCTGTATTTGCAACAAACGATTCGCGACCCGTCACAGCGCTTGCAGAAATCCTGGTTCTCTTCTACCCTCGCCGTTGGCATCGGCGCCGAACACCTCCCGCTTGGTCTCGTGGCAGGAACCTCTCTCGCCACGAAGCAAGCCCGGGACCATGAGTCTGGAC